GTCTTATTTGAACCCTGGATTCAGTGTGCTTCTCTTTGATAACCAGAAGGCTTAACATTGGTATCTTGAATAAAACTAATTTTGCATATTCCCAGATACTAATGTCTATTATATATTATTATATCCTTTCAGCAAATCAGTCATCTATGACCTTTACAAGGTATTTATTTGTTAAAAAATTTATACTGGACCAGGATCAACAGTTGTTTGTCTCTTTTCTATTTGGAAAGTTAAGTTGTGAAAATGGCACCGGGGAGTCTGTACTTGAATTTTGTTTTTCTTTTTTCACAAACTGAATAAAGATAGAGTTTCATTCTACATGTTTCTAGCCTTTTAAAAAGAATTTTGCTGAATCGATTTTGGGTGAGTGAACAGATGAGCAAGAGCAAGCACCTTGACTCTCATGAAAAAGATAAATTCAGCTGGTGTTCTTTTATGTATCTAATACTATGTATCAATATTGAATGCAACATACTGGATTTGTCTCTTTCTTTACCAAGACTTCATTTTTGTGCTGCATGTCTTTGTCTTTTTAAATGTAACTTGCACAAAGTTACTTCCCAGTGGGCATTAGCTTTGGAATTGCCTTGCTCAGAGGTTGTGCTCCAGCTTCTTATATTTAATGAGGCAAAGCCGATTCTGAGACCATATGTGGAGATTCTGGTACAAATCAAAGGGCTGACTTTGAAGTAACAAGGGGTTTGGATCTTCATAAAAAGCACCACTCTGTTACAGTGAAAGCTTTTAAGTATTCTAGTAGCCATGTATGAGTGCTGTACTGTTCCTATTAAATATTAGAAACAGAGAATAAAGAAGCTGAATAAATAGTTTGAACAGTGTGCTCTATAATTTATAATCCATGTACCCAGAGTGCAAAGAAAATAGGTTTTGAAGAGTGTTTATTTTTCTAATTATGAATAAAAAACCACAGAATTTTAAGTATCTAGGAAGCCCTAGAAGTCTCAACTTCTGTGGAAGATTATCATATATGTAACTAAAGAGTTCAGGATTGTAGGTCTGGATAGGCAGACTGGTAGGAAGCCTGTCAGACTCGCATTGGAAGTTTTATCAAAATCAGCCTACAGAAGGAGAGCGTTTCTGTTTAGGATAATTTGACTTCTCCTCAGCTATAAGTGTTTCATTTGACAAACTGAGTATTTCCAGTATTTGAGATATTTCTCCTAGAAAACATGACTTACAGGAGTAGCATAGGTGATTCTTTCTAACTAATTTAAGCATTTATTGGCAGTTAAACTTGGAATTGCCATTACAAAGTTGACATGTAGAATTTTTGAAACAAATGATATATTTAAAATCTGAAGCCAGTGTTAGGCTTTAACGTGCACCACTGATTTTGTTTGACATAGGTAAATAAAAGCAGGGAATATTTAATATGGTTGTGTTGTATTTGCACAGCACAGAAAAGGTACAGCTTCTAGTTTCATTTGAGTCGGAAACTCTGCATGGACAATTGGCTTTGATTTGAACCTTGAGGTATATAAAAATGCATTTTCCGGTCTTTGCCACATGGCAAATAGTAACTAGTAACTACTTTGTCCCAGAGCAGTGCATATTTGCTGAATAGCTGAAACAAAGAAATCAAAATAGTTAGATAAGCTGGACTGACAGACTGGAAAGGAGACTAAGATTTTGTTTGGTTTGTGCATTTTTTAAGGATATTTCTGCTTAGGTCACACAGCGAAGCTCAAAAAGAGTTTGCACCAGGAACCAGCTTGGCCTCACTGCAGTCAGCATTTTCAGCAGCTTTGAGTGTTTCAAGGAGGTGAGGTGTAGAGAAAGAGAAGCAAGGAAACAGCGTTTCCAGCATATCTCTGTAGTTCTTAGAAAAATGTTTATCTCGGTCACGGCTAAATATAACCACAGACAAAATTATAAGGCGCTGTAGGTATTTCTTAAAAGCGTAGACCGATGTATCCATCCATTATTTTACTCTCGACACAGCACTGCAGATCAGATTCTTGTGCCAGAAGTTGATTTATGTTTCTCCCGATACTGACTAACATGATTGCCTTGTGTAGTAGCAATAGTAACTTTCCCACTGTCTTCAGTTCATTTTGAAATTGCTCAATTTAGGTGAAAATACAAAATGAAAATTTTTTCAATACTCTGAAAATTTAAATAGTGTGGAAACACTTTAGCATTGGCAGTCTGAAATATATTGGAGTCATTTCCCTCGTCCCGGAACACGATTTTTAAAAGAGACACTATGACATAGTAAGGGTTAGATTTTTCAAACATGACTCATGTTTGGCATGTGATGGGTTTGGTTTTATTGTTTTGGGATAGTTTTTCAGCAGTGTTTAAAAGACACAAACAGGTGATGTTTTCAACTGCAACTTGCAGAACTAAGACACACAAAACTACCAATTGCATTTTAAATTTTTAAATTTTAAATTTTATTACTTTAAGTAATAAAGTAAAATGTTCTGACAGGACGCAAGCATTTCCCAACTTCCATTCAAACTGATGTAGTGCAAACTTTCTAACAATGTTAAACTTACTAAAACTGAATTCTGCAGCATCACCTGTTACGTGAATAGCCAAAAATCTAGTGAAAACATTTAGTTTTAAATGAGGAGGGTGGGGCAAAAGAGACTTCACAAAGACCTTTATAGCAAACATAGAGAATTCTAAGTGAAGCTTCCTACAATGAAGAGTAGAGGAGGACAAACAGTATATACGTATCTTGAACTTTTTCTAAAACCATGGACAAAGAATTTAATTCCTCTTTCTGTTGAATGTTTTCCTACAATTCCCCTACTTTTGTCCTAATAGCTTGGTCTTTCTGGTGCTTTTGGATTCATCACTGGGCCATTTGGAAGCAACATTTGTATCTGTGATTGAAAACTAGTGCTTATTCTGGCATGGCGTAACTTCAGTTTTTGCTTCCATCTTTAGCCAGTGCTGACCATATCTTGACTTTGTTATTTTTCCCTTATCTACTCTTAGTCTTTTATTTGGTTCTGTCCCTTCTCTCTTCTTCAACCTTTTCTCCTCTTTCTTTACCTCTCTCTCTGCCACCCTGTGCATATGAATTGCCATGTGGTGAGTGTATTTATGGAAAGGTTTTCCCCCACCCCCCCTCATTTTTAAGAAGTAACTTCAAAAAACATTTGAAGACTGCATTTTAAATGTGTCTTTCAAACTGTACTTTAAATTGGAGAATTTTTATCTTAAAGTTTAGATTAATTTTTCAATGTCTACTGTTTTCTGTACAAACATGCACGTTTGCATAAAAATTATGTATAAGAATGTATGTTATTTTACTGAAAATCTCTATTTTCTACAATATATTGTTTATTTGGCTGTTTTGTAGAACAGAGAAAATGTGGTTGATACAGTGGCAGTAACTGGCTGACTAGCTTTGCGTTTTTGTGTGCATGTGCGTAGTCTTAAAATACTTCTACTGTAATTGCAAGTGAACCTTGTCAGTACTCTGCCAAACCCATATTCCATCCTTTATACAGAATATAGGTACCGAGCTCTCTGTATTTGAGGCAATATTACATGTAGCTTGACACAGTCAGTCAGAAATTCCATCTGCATTGAATGGGTATGCTTTTGTTTCTGGATTACCAACTGAATTTTCAGCTGGTTTCTTTCTGATTCATCGCACTTGGTTTCAAAAATTCTTATGAGACATGCTTCCAAACATTCAGTGCAACTACAATAGTGGGTAGTCTCAATGGAAGAGCTGCTGTTGTAGTTTTTCTTTTGTGTATACAGTGAAGACTTTCCTTTTTTGTTGTTATTTGTAAAGGTACCACTGTGATGTACTGATTCAGATTTTTAAATACAGAAGTGTTTGTTGGGACACACAGAGCTGGAGAAACTGAGAATTCTCAGGTGCCATGATGATAAGCATTATGAGAACCCAGTGAAATTTGGTTAGCAACTTTTTCACTTGCATAACATATATACTAATTTATACATTTTGTAAAAATAGTGACTGTCTACTTTGTGAACATATTGAAAGTTCTGGTATCAATGGTGGTAAAAACCAAACTGAATATTATCCTGCGTGAAATGTGGTGTGACTAAAATAGCTAATGTTTGAAAAACTAAACTGATACTTTTTAATCTGTAAAGTCTCCCTGTTTTGTCTACTCATTATCCTTTCTTCTGTTCAAATGCACTGCTTTTTTCAGTTCAGAATCTAGCTACTGATGCGAGGAAAATCTCTCCCAAGTTACGCTTGTGAGCAGATCCATAGCTAGTCTGTTCTTTCTTATCTAAAGCATATACTGTTAGAGGGTATTTTTTCAGCATTTTCTGTTTACTTGCGTTGGAGTTATATCGTCTTCTAACTACAGCTGGTTTTGGTAAGAAAAGGAAACTTCCTTGAAAAAGAGCAAAGATTGACCTGTTAGATCACCAACTAAAATTGAGACATTATATCAAGACAATAGTATCAATAAATTAAAATGTCAAATATATTGGCTAATGCTGATACAGTAGATTAGCAAATGGATTAACTATTTTTACTGTCCTTTTAGGATATCCAATGTTAATCGGAACCGCTGTCTGTATTGGTATCTCAAGTTCACCTGTTGACTTTATTACAAGGATTTTTGGCTGCTTCATTATTAATGGCTAAAATCATTGCTTTTCCACAAATCTTTCATTTTTCTAACTTTTATCAAAGTACAAATTTGTGTGAAGCAAACCAACTTTTTCTGCTGTTGTAAAAATGACACTGTTTCATGTTCATAAAGAACTGCAATTTCTAGTGCCAAAAAAGCAGTTAGTTTTTCATCCACCAGAGTTTTGCTCTATGTTAGGATTTTGCTACAAATGCAGCACTGTGATGTTCAAGTTTGTGCAAATTTGAGTAATATTTCCACAACATGAAAGTTTTACTACAAACACTAAGATTAAAACTTATTTTGTCTTCTAGTATTTTTTATACAACAGAAGAATGTTATTAATGTGGAATAATTTCACATGGGTTCAGTTGCTAATGATTAAACTGTTCTGTGATTTGTACAGATAAACACAAGGACTGCTCTGGTGTAACTTTACATCTGACACATCAGAAGTAAGTATCTTTAAAAATACCTATTATGATTTTTTTTATCAGAACAGAAGGCATGGAAGCCCCTTCTTTAGATTCCTTTGAAAATGTGTGAAATAAAAATAATACATACTTCACAATATTAAGAATTTTGAAGCCATGTGTCATCTGTTGGCAAAAATTTTCATTTCTGCTAAGAAACTGGATGAAATGTTGCTATCAATACTGAGTTAATCCAGTTTAAGAGCTTCATATTTAGAAATCTGGGGCAAGAACAGCAATTATATACATGATCGTTTTGTCCTATTTCACAAACTTTGTAGAAGATGCTTTAAATATTGTAGCTCAGTATGAAAAAAGGAGCGAAATTGAAGTGGTGTGTAACAGCTGCTTTTTCAGTAGACCGTTTCAGACATACTCCAACATTTAGAAATTAGTGGTGTTAAATGTTATTGCATATCGTGTTACTTGCAGTCAGGTTTTACAAAGGACTTGTTTAGCAGAGCTTGGGTTTTGAATTGCAGGCAGCCTTTGATTGCTGGAATGTATCTTATGATGTCTGTGAACACTGTAATACCACCAGGTGAGAAAGGTGAGTCATAATTGTACAAAATGATTATGTAATTTCAGCACCTTATTTATTTTTACTACTCATTGCAGAAGAAAATTTAGCAGAGACTTGCTGAATTGTAGATGGACAAATTAATTGCTTAATTAAACAAATGATGAAAAAAAAAGTTGTAATTTTAAAATTGTATCATATTTCCCAATTACTAGATCTGCAAAGGCAATCAATATTGTAGAAGACAATGTTGTATAAAACAATAATGATCTGTGCAATACTGAAGTTTCTAGGATTCTTAAGAGTATGTCTTTGATTTATTTTCGTCTTAATATTTTATCAAAAAAGCCCTACCTATTTTCTTATTCTCCCCCTCTCCTCCAAAAGCCATGAAATTTTTTGGACTCTTCTTCATCTGCATTTGTCATTCATGCTATTTGTGATTTACTGAAAGTTCAGTTTTAATAAATTAATTTCTACCAGCAAGGAGCTGCTCTTTAAAAATTTTATTTCTGTGTTCCTAGTTGGTTAAAAGGTCAAAATGCTGAAAAAACATTGTAAAAGAAAGTTTCCAAACAGTTTCTATTCAGAATCCTAGTCACTGGATTTTATCTGAAACTCAGCTTGGATAGTCCCAATATCATTTCTTGAAGCTAGCATGGAATGTTCTGTTTTAAGGAAGTTGAATACTGACCTTACATTTTCCTATGCTATACTGGAATTTTAAATTAGATATCCGAGAATGCCATTTGTCCCATTTACAGTTAGCTGCCTAAATAGGATGAGGTGGTCAAATGCTCAGCTGACTCCCAACTGTTCGGTGAATTCAGCAATTTGAAATCTTTTTTAATTTGAATTGAAACTTAACATATTTTGCTCTTCGATATGGAAACATATCAGACTGATCCCCCCTTCCCCCCCCCAAATATTTGATCAATGCAGAAATTTACTTTTTCAGCTGGAGGGGTGAGGGAAAGGGGAATAAAAACAGTTCTGTGCCTGTTGATAACTGCCTTCTCGTGTTCAATCAAATTTGCAGTTCTTAAGTAAAGCATGAAGTTTGTTGTAACAGGAAAAATGCAGCCAGTCCCCGGATATCTCTCAGAGAGGCATCGGTGGAGGAATTTCTTTGTAGGCTCTTTCTTAATTACTGTTACTGCACCTAACACGAGTACTAGCCTGCAGACATTGTGCAGCACTTCTCTGCCAAAGTCTGCATCTAAACCTAAATCTTTAAGACTGGGCCTAGAACTACAAGCTCTTAAAATCAAGCCTTCATTATAAATTGTATCAGTTTAGAATTATATCAGTTTATTTTAATTTTCTCCTGAGTAGACTATTTACCATAGCTATGTTTATTTTAAGGTCCCTCTACATGGTCTGTAAGCAAATGTATTACTTTACTTCATTAAATAGCAGTGGTGTACGCTGGAAAAAATGCTACTGAGTTTCAGCCCCATTTTGTATGTACATCGTCACATAAAGTAATTTTCAAGTGACTTTTACTGTATTTTATTAGTTTTTCTTTACAGATATCTTGAGATAGACACTGCAGAAATATAAGATATTTTCCAGTATCTTTTGAAATTGTCTGTTGTCCAGTGTAGGTATACTTTTTCTAAACTGCTTTCACACTGAATGAAGTACAGTAGTGTAACTTTTCTCTGATAAATAATGTGGTTTTCTTTGTTTATTGCCATCATATTTTAACCAGTGGTTGATGCAGACATTGCCTGCCATTACAAAAGGTTTCCAATGCACCTCTTTGCCTACAGAGTTCATACACACAGACTAGGTAAGAGTTTTATTGCAACATAAGAATATCAAATATATAACAGAAAAATGCTGACACTACAACATATTTTTTTAGAAGTATATCTCATGTTCATATGCATATTGGTATGTTATAGGTAAAGTAGTGAGTGGATACAGAGTGAGAAACGATCAATGGACATTGATTGGTAGACAGAGTCCGCAACTACCACAGGTTGGCTGTTTTTTTAATTCTAACTGTAATTTTTAATTATCTCTGTTTAAAACTGAGAAGCGGAATTGGCAGTCATGTACCCACAGATTTGCATCATGGTGTTTCCACTGGTACATGTTGTTATGCCACTGGAAGTGAGTACTGCCAAGTGTTATCATGATTACATTATGATGCAAAAACCATTTTGAAATTACTTTTCAGATGTGTAGCACTGTCATTCTCATCTGTATGTATATTGACGTAAATAATATGAGACGCTTTCACTAATTATGGTGGCTCATCCTTTCTTTCAGGCATTCTATCCAGTAGAACATCCTGTAGATGTTAGCTATGATGATATCCTAGCAGCTAGATGTGTGTTCAGTGGTGAAGGCAGAACTACAGAGACACATATAGGGTAAATTTTCTCTGTTTGCTCCATTTCCTAACCATTTTTTTCCAAGGTATTGGTTATGTGTAGAAATGTATTTGTTTCATGTCTTCTTCCAAGATAATTGTAGCAAACTTAAATTCGGGCAGAATGGTCTGTTTTGCTGTCTAGTCTGCTAAAGATTTAACTCTACACAATGTTAATTGCCTTTACTTACGTGAATAATCACTTTGCTGAAATGTTCAGAACATCTCTCAGGTGAACCTATGCTGCCAAACATCTTACTCAGATGTTGGGCTGTTCTGCACTTAGAGAGGGATTCAGAATACCAGTTCTAAAAAATGTATTTTTTAGTAAGTTGAAATTATTGACTGTTTAAAATAAAATAACAAAGCTTCACAATTTCCCTGCATTATTTTGGAAAGAAAATTTATGGAAGCTTATAAAATTCTGATAAATTTTGACCTGTTGTAAAATCTAACCTTAAAAATTAGGACTAATGTACCAATTTCCTTTTTTCCAATATAAAAATATACAGGTTTTTATGAAAAACAATGAAAACATAAATGATAAAAAGAAAAACTGAACTGTGTTTGTCAGTGATGCTATTCAGCCGAAGATGACAGAACTCTGTAAGATCAAGTTGACAAATACAACCGTAAAAATAAATGCAGTATGAATATTCTCTTAACTGGCTCCAGTTCTTTGAACCGTAATTTACTGCATATGTAGAGATACGAAGATACCCTGCAGAAATCTCTCCATTCTGGAAGTATGTGCTGCAGCACCCCAAGGGACAAGGTTTTCAGTGCACTGAGCAGCCTAAGATTGCATCTCAGTAGAGGGTTAAGGATTCAACACAGATTTATCACCTTTCAGTGGGTAGTTAGAATACTGATGAGTTGCAGCTGAAGCAAAATGAATTGTTTGTGAAGAGATTTTTGCAAAAGCCGTAACGCTAACAAAAATATATCCAAAACCTTAATTTAACTGTAGACCTTTTTTTCACAAGTTCTAAAAGTTTCTGTCACGTTTCTGTAACATTCCCCAAAGTAGTTCCTGTTTGTTGAATAATCCTTAAAGTTTAAGAAACAGTCCTAGGACAATTACGGTCTTTTCTTTCAATGTTTTAATATGCTTTCAATGGGGAAGTAATAGGAAGAGAAATTAAAGAAACAAGCAGACCCTTACATCTTTATTACATAATTTCTACCTATGAATTTTGAGAAACAACGCATAAGCATTTTACGCAAATATTTAAACTGTTACAGAAAAACTGTTGCATAATATGGAAGTATATATGGTTGGAAAATAATTATCACCGTAATACGAAATGAATGGATGAAAAGGAATGCATTCACAACAATGCTGGGTATATGGAAAGATACACACCTAAAATAAATTAAATGGAAGTTGTTTTAAAACTTGGAAAATGTTGCCCTGGTGTTGCAGTTGTCTTGCTCCCATTCAGAATGACTCGTTGGTCCAAAAGAAATATTAAAAGAACTTTTGAGTTCCAAATATAAACACTGAAAAAATGGGAAGTACAAACATGAAAGGAAAGCTGTGAAAAAATATATGTCTGAAAAGGATCAGATCAAGTCTGCATGTTCACTTTCCCAATCTCTATATTTAATTTTCTGCCTTGTTTTTGTTTTTCCTGAAACTAGCTAAAAAAAACATCTTAAATTCTTTATGCGATTTGTCTTTAATATATATAGAAGACAGGGCTAAAACAAACTTAGAGTTCACTTTGTCCATTCGCCTTTCCAAACCTGATCAGTTAAAGCTTAACCATTCATAATGTATACTAACTGTAGTTAAAACATGACATATTCTCAATGTTATACTTTCTTAACTGTGTAATAATTTCTGTGATAGTCAACTAGTCCCTTTCATATGAATGAAGTGTCATTTTTGGCTAAGTCTATTACTTAGTATCTAACTTGGGGAGAGAGGATGGATGTTCTTTTTTTGTTTTTATCCCTTCCTTACTGTGCTGTTTGTTTCTTTACATTTGTTTCTTACATTTGGTCTTGGTTTTTTTCATGTTTTTCTTTAGTTACACTAACTGCTTTCCATTATCTCACGTTATCTCATGACCCCCATGGTTCACACTAACCTTTTTCATCCGGCTTCCTCTCCTAGTCTAAGAAATTAAATAGGTATTGAAGCGTGCCTCTTAAATGTGTAGAGTTTGGCAAACCAAGGTTGAGAAGTGAAACGTAGTTTTGCTTGTGCAATTGACTACATACAAGTTCGGGGTAATTACACGAGCACAGACTTAATGTCTCTGGTGAGGTGAGGTGAGGCAGGAGCCATCTCTTCAAAAGTTTCATAAATCGTCCATTTCAGTTAGCTGGGTTTCTCCTGAAGCTCAAACTTTTGCAAATTAAAGGGTTGAATTATCCTTTGTCAAATAAGAAGGACATCAACTATTCCTAATTTACAAAGCAAGATTTCTTCTAATTTTTGTTACAGACCAGTAAGTACTTCATGCAAGCAGCCACTGTATTTTTGTAACAGATAACTTAATGATGTTTCAGAGTAAACATTATAGTTGATACAGTGTCAAGTAGTATATAGCTTACCACTCTAAGGGATATCAAAGAACTGGAGCCCATTTAATGTAAAGATCATATCTTTGTAAAGAAAAGTGCCATTGGCCACGGTGTCTGCTTGTTTTTCCAGTTGCACTGTAATGCATTGTTTAAAACTCTTAACAGTCAGAAAATAATGCAACCTGTATCTTTGCCTTTCAAAATACTGGAACAGGTATTTTAACAAACAGTTTTACAATTAACAGATTAAACAATATAGAAATATTGTTTAACAGGTATTGTACCATTCAAGAGAAGGTTTATGTGCCTGTAGCAAAACGTTCCTATTCAGTATTTAAGATTCTGTAATTGCATTATCTTGCTTTTCAGAGCTGAATCCTCTGTTTCATTAGGCTTCACTGTGTACTGTTAATATACCAAGATCTGGATACGGTTCTAGATATCTGTGGTAGTGGCGTGAAGGTAGTTAACAGGAATTTTTAAATTTTATTTCTTTTTAACTTGTGCATCATCATTTCTACTCACTAAACTCGTTCACAAAACAGGGTTTCTCGGGAGTTCAAATATCTAATGAAAGGATTCTGGGTTTTTTGTGAATTTATTAAAACTGTTGTTGACAGAGTATTTTTCTTCTTTTTTTTTTTTTTACTGTAAATATTTAAAATTATCAACTTTGAAATGTTTAGACACAGTAACATGTTTCAGATGAACTAGAGTTTGTGTGGGTTCCACGACCCCTTTTCTACTGGAGTTTTAAAGAGGCAGCAATTATAGTGACAGATACTGGGAGTCCAACAGTGAAGTTAATGCTTTCTAAAAGCTTAAGCAGAGCTTGCCAAGTCAGAATCTGATTTTTGTGGTCTCCAAGGGATGCTAAATTTTCAATGCATGGAAAAATACCAATTCCCCTTTTGAAACGGTCTCTTCTCCCATGTTCCCCCTGTCTCCCCTCCGGCTGGTGTCATTATTGTTGCTATGGTGAATAAATGAATGCTGCAGGATGCTGCTGGAAAAGTCAGCGCTTACATCTTTCGCAAACAGCTAATAGGCCACCCCCGTATCTTTTTATGAGTATGGGCTCACTGGTTAATTGTGAAAGCTAATTAAAAAATCTTAACAAAAAACCCTTTATTTTGTGAACCTTTCCTTGTAAGTCCTAGCGTATTCCATTGTCAGGATTGTAGCTATAAATAAAAGATACCAACCTATATGGCAGAGGAAAAAAACCAGAAACACATTACAGTTGCAAAGAGGCCCTGTATTGTCTGCTTCACAAAGTGTTATTTTTCAGAAAAAATTCTTTCTCATACCAGCTGTTTTTTCTATTGAAGACAGGATTATGTAGCAGTACAGAGGAGTCTCTTCTGTTTCAAGTACATGCACAACATTTATCACAGAACTGAATTTTGCTAGTCTTTAATCATTCCTCTTGCATTCATGTTTTCCTTGCAGAAGCTTGTGATCCAGTTATTCTCAAGATGGCAGTGCTATCTTCTCTTTAAGAGATATTTATGGTGTCTTAATACATAATGAAATTAAGTTTTCCTGCGTTAGAACCAGTGTGATTTGCCAATAAATGGATGCACTTGAACATGGCGGGGGGGGAAACTATCATAAAAGATAGCTGCTGAAATGAAATATAGATGTTATTTGCAATGATTTTAAATTAGGTTTGCCCCAGATTGACAGAGAAGCATATGAATGGTGACATAATGAATGATACAGTTCTGTCTTATTTCATCAGAACATGTGCACAGTTGGTGACACACTGGGGACTATGAGGAGTATACCGGGGAAATGAGAAGGAAGAGCAGTTTAAATAGTTGATGCAATTTTCTGTAGAATCAAAATCAAATTCTTAGAAATTTCTGAGATACCTGGGGAGTTTGTGCAAACTGGTATTTGCTAGTATAAATTGAAAGAAACTTTTGATATTCACTGCAGTGAAGCAATTAAATATTTTAGTGTGGGACTTCTAAACATTTCATTGCAACGTTTTAATTTTCTATCAAACAAGTTAGATGAATTGAATAACAGCTATATTCAGCTCATTTTTTTCCTAACTGCCACATCTTTTCTGTGTTGTGTAGGGGAACAGCCAATGATGAAATGTGTAATTTTTATATTATGTACTATATGGAAGCCAAGCATGCTGTCTCATATATGACCTGCACACAGAATGCAAACCCTGAGATGTTCAGAAATATACCGCAGGAGGCAAATATTCCTATTCCAATCAAGTCTGATATGCTAAAGATGATGCATGGACATCATGAAGGTGAAAAAAACTTGTAATCCATTTTATTTCAGTCTTTTTATGTTCACTGATGTGTTTGTCTGTGTTGCTTTGATATGCTAAATTTTCATAAAAAGGAAGTGCAATTCTGAATAAAATTCAGATCGCTAATTATAGACCATCACAGGATTCTGCTCTTGGTTTTGGTGGAAATGTCTGCCGTAGTCTTTTGTCCCTTTCTTTCTACTGTTGTCTTTCAATTTCCAACGTATTTTTATAGCTACATGAGCTGTCTACCCAAAAGATTGACCTCTTTTTTATGCCAAATTTCTTAATACTTGCTTTATCTCCTGTCTGTTTCCTACAAAGTTGAATCATAACATTTCCATAGTTTTCTGGATCCCACTGCCTTGTTACGGAAGGAATCAAATGTTTATGTTGAATTGTAATTTTTAACGTAATCATAATTTTTAATTCCAGTTGTTTTACTGCTGGACTGTTTGTACAACTACTACAGATAGATAAAAATAAAAAATGTTTGTTTCAGAAGGGCTTTTTTTCCCCAGTAGGAAGATACTCAATTCTATTCACACGCAGAGGTTAACATCATATCCTAAATCCATTTTTCAGAAACCAAGGATACTGATAAAAGTTCTTTGCTGCAGCAGGCCAAAAAAGAAGAGGAAGAGATTTTGGATCAAGGTATGTACTTACTTATTTCTATGTCAAGTGGGGGACTCACTAATGTAAAATACTGATAAATTATATCCTGATTGTTAAAGAGTTATGAAGTTTTTAATCTATTTATCTTTCATTGATGCAATTTGCAATGTTCTGTACAGCTAGTACGATTGAATACTATATAAGAAATAATAAAAAAAAATTAGTCTACCACTGATCTCTAGCCTTGAAGGTAAAATTTATTAGTGCATTTTAATCTCATTAGATTTTCCTGTTCTTGCTTTAATTTGCTAATGAAGGTTGCAATTTGTCTGTAAGTGCAATCCTAAAGAATGGACGCAAAGAAGTAGTCCTATAGCATGTAACTGTTCTATATTCTATATGTAACTATCTGCTATTAGCTCTTCACCTATTTCTCAGTTTATATTACTACGTATATATTAGGGAATAATATGGTTTTATGCTTCAATATTGGTTGTACATGCAGTGGGTTGAGTGCAGCTAATGTTTAATACTGAATTATTTTTCACTATATTTGTTTATGAGTGCAGATACGCATAACAACTCATGCAAAAACGTGTGCAAGTTCTTGTGGATCATATGCTACTAGATAAATACTGGTTTAGTATCAAGATTTTTCTTGATACTTAGGAGAAGACCTCATCAGCTACAGCTGCTTACTGTTTTGATTGAACAATGTTGAGGTTCAAGGACTAAATAAATTAAAGACAAATTTCCTTTTGCCTTTAATGAGAGCAAAGATTAGGCCAGTGTTTAGAGTTTTTGATAACATCTCCGAAAGGGGTTAGATTTTCTATATACTCTGCCATTTTGCAGAGTTAACTCAAATAATTAAGTTACAGTTACATAAAAACTAGCTTCTAGAGTGTAAGAGCGTCTTGACTGAAAGAATCTTAAACTGCTAGGGACAATATTTACAATTCCGTGTCTGAAACTTATCTTAGTCAATTCCAGATGGATTTTTTTAGAAAGAAATACGATTCTAATTTTTTTAAGCAGAATGAGCTAGCTGCTTACAAATTTGTATCAAGATTTATGCTGACAAGCTGCTTCATCCTTATGTTACTAATAAGCGCATTAGCATTTGGTTGAAGATCTTGTTATCTTGTTATTTTACTGAATTTGTTAATGTTTGAAAAAAAATGTTAAAACAAGGTCCTGTTTTTAAAATCTTTTTCATTTGTCTTTGGAATGTATTTTAAAGCCACGTTTCTGCAATGGAGTCTCGTTTGCTGAGACCACTATTTAGTACACATCCTCATCTAACATGTTTCTATGGAAACACACTGCATTGTTTTGCCCATTTGAAATTAGTTGGGTCCATGATGTGAAATATCAAAACACAGTAGTTGCCCCGAGGAATTTTGTTTCATGTTACTAATTGTTATTTTAAGATAAATTCTTAAGGAGAGCTAGGAGCCTATCTTCAATTTTACATTGATACAGCTCTAACTTCAGTTGAATTATGTATGTGTAAGCAAAAAAAGCAAAAGGAAAAATCAGATTTTGGTTTTATTTTTGTCTCCAAAGAACTAAAGTCGGATGGCTGTTTTAGAAAGTGGTTTTTGGTCCCACAAGCACATGAGCACCTGGTAAGATACACTGGGAAAACCAGGAGCTGAAAGCGGTCTTCTAAAATGTGCCTATAAAAATTACATACAAATTGGAGTCTGGTTTTGTGGGGCAAAGCGGTTTTATGTAATTGCATTGCCAGTTTGTCCATCTCCTCAAGTCACTTCAGTGAGTTAGCCAATATCAACCAAATTTGAATAAGGTCTTAATGACAGGAAAATTCTACAGTTTGGAGGGAGGAGACAGTGGACCCCTAAGCCGCACAGAAGCAAATACATGCTTTCACAGAGGTAAAGGTTATAACATCAATTTTTCCCTTTATGGCTTGGCATGACATACTCTATATGATAAGCTTATCTACAGAACACAGATCCACCAAGACTCAAGCTTTGATTACTTCTGTTGCTGCTGTGCTGTTGCTCAGTAAATTCAGCCTTTGATTTGCTCTGAAGATAGTACTTTAACGATTTTTCCATAATTCTGTGTTTTATCTCACATGTTTTTTCCTTGATGACTCATTATGCTGTAGCAACTTCATTTTACCCTCCTTAGTTTCAGGTAACTGAAGTAAACATTGTTACTTCACTAAAACTGAAATAGTTGTTAAATTGTTATATTGCCCTGGAGATACTTACAAATCTGGGGGTAGAGGCATGGTCAAAGAGACAAATTTTGATGTGGCTAGTATTAAATCTAAGCTAGTATTAAATCTTACCTTAATGAAACTGACCTCATTATATGGCTTCTGAAACAGCAGTGTCGCTGTTTGGTGAAGATAAACTGTTCATAGGAAGTTAATTATTGTAGGAAGTGCACTTGATTTAGACATTTGTGCATATTGGAGAGTTTCCTCTGAAACACAAAATCCCCAGCAAAACAAGTATTATTTATGTTTATTTTTTGTTCATCAATGTAAGTTTGATTAAATTGTGTTCAATAGATACAGTACTGAAAAAAACTACTTCTGTTTATTGCATTCACCATGTCTGCTAGATGTCTCTTCTTTCTCTGTGGAAAAAAGGCCTAAATGTGTTTCATTCTGTTTGTTTAACACTTTTCTGGCTGTAGTCTGTGGCATAATATAATACAGTTTAGATTTGTTTGGGTATGCAAGCAGTGAAGCAGTCTTTACTATTGAAAAAGTCAGCTGCTGCTGTACCTGAAAGCTGTATAGACACAATAGCAGTAGTTTCTTAATAACAAGGAAGGTGATGGTTAATCACATGTAAAATATTTGATTTTTTGACTTGTGGTTCATGATTTGATATCTCATTTTGTGTGCATTAGTTGTAATCATAAACTTTCTTTTGAAGCAGAAGGGGCAATTTTTTTTCCTAGTAAAGCCAATATAATTATGTTTAAACAGTTTAAAAAAAAAAATTCAAGGCTGGCTTGAACTGCAAATTCACTTGCAGCATATAAACCAAAAATTAGATCTGATTTTTTGTTTTAGAAGGACACGTGTGTACACAGGTATATGTTACTTACACACACATGGGAGAGAAGAGAGATGGGATTTTCATCTTACTTCTGGTATTAATGCTTGCTGTCACACTTACAAAAGCACATTTTTGCTTGTGTCTGGCTTAGGGAATTTAGAAGTTAGTATTAAAAAAGTAACTTGTGTATTTTTGCCTTTGGTGATGGAATCTGAAGTGAGAGTCAAAGTTGCGATTCTTTTGTTCTCAGTATTGATCAGTTGTACTGCTGATATGGGGTTTTTTTCCCCTCATCCCCCATTATTTCATGGTTACCACAAGTACAAGTTATTCCAGGAACTCAAATGGTGAAGTTCAATACAAGTGAACTTAACAATGTCCCTGTAGACTCATGTGAAGTCCCTTATTCACAGCTGAGTGTTTTAACTGAAATCCCATTAAACCTCCTACTTTTAAAATAGTATTACAGCTTGAGTCCGGCATTCAGAAGTTAGCTTTTATAAAGTTGGGCTTTAAGTCTGCAATCATAGAATTTCTGTCCTGGTGGTGAGATAGGTTGCATAGAAAAACACCTCACTGGACTTCTACCTCGTTGTTTCAGAGATTAGAATGTGTACAGCGAGTGAAAATAGAGAACAACGTAAAGAAAAGAATATGACTTCATGGTCTAAGGCAATTTGATGCTCTCTGATTAAAGTGTGTTTTACTCTAGACTCTGATAAGAGTTGCTGAATGGCTCTAGGTAGCTTGGTACCTGTTTGAAGTCTGATTTCCTCATCTGTTTTCCTAGTCTTTGAGGATGGACAAAACAAACAACTGAAGCTAGGTCTTGCATATACATAACTCCTACTGAAACTGACTGGAAATGTGGCTTGAACATAAGATGTGAAATATAATGCAAGTACCCTGTAAAATCACATTTTGAGATGTTTCTAGGTGGACACCCAAAATGAATGGATTCTAAATGACAGTTCTGGCTGTAATCTCTATCAAAGTAGCAGTGATTATGGACCTTAATTTCATAGGACAGGCTGTGATAATGAAGTAATTTAGTGTAAGTAAGTGTTTCATAAACAGAGATGATAGAATAGAAACGTTAAGAGAAGTCTTTCTGTTCAGTTAAAACACTTGTTCGGGAGTGCTTGGAGGGGAATTCTTTGAATGAAGTTAAATATAAATATATAGTGATGGCCCATTGATTGTATGAGGAGGTTTCTTTGTAAGAAAAATGAACTTCATAATCCATACAAAATGGGTGCTGAATTAATTCTGCTATTTATTACCTGTTGGATGCCTAACCCATCTTTTAATTATTTTCAGTTGTTGTATGCTATATTTGCGCGAGTGCGTGCACACACACACACGGAGAGATAAATACTTTTGCGCAACATTTTTGTTACACTGCTGGAAATATTTTGCTAGGTTGTAGCCGAATCTGTGAGTTGAGAAACTGAAATGTCTGTTCAGTGTTGCATATTTTGCTGTTTACTTGTGCATATCTGTGAAAAGCTCATTACAATAAAAATGTACTGAACGAGGCTTTTTGTATCTGGGATAGAAATTTCTGATTGATTTAAGTGAAAGGAGGAGGTATAGCTCCTCCTCTTTCTGCCTCATGTCTCTTTTGTTTCCTTTTAAAAAAAAAAAAGAAGGGGGGAGGAAATGTGAAGGGAATTTCTTGCAGGATAGGTGTTGAAAGGAAAAGGAAAGGAGAATCAGCATGCAAGCAGGTCCTTGATTTTTCAGGTAATGAAGTAGTGTATTTCTGTGATAATATTACATGGCAAACCCTATGGCAGTAGAGTCAACCAATAAGACTTGATGTATTTTTATGCCAGCACATGTAGCCATGAGTTACATTCCTTTCTAAAATAAATTTGTCATATACCTTTACTAGTTTGTGTGTGGTTGTAAGAAAAGAGAGGAGTTCAATTTGGTAGGTGGTTAAAATTTCTTAGGTTGATGGAAAAAGGATGAGGCTTGAAAGAGAAGACAAATTCACTTTCCAGTATTGATGTTGGATGCCTAGAATG